TAAAGCTTATAACAGCTTCACAGGAATATTGAGGGTTAAAGCCTGTTCCTAAAAACTGTAGCTATTTAATTCTGTAGAAAGCAGTTCAGTTTTCCATTTAGCTCTCACTTAGTGCTTAAAGACTGAAATGAAGAATGCTGTACTTTAAGGCACAATTTTCAAAAAAACCCAACTTTAATCAGTACTTATTGTTTTACTATAAAAGTGTAACTTGAAAGTGAATAGTGGAAGTTGTGTGTAAAAAGCACAAGGAGAGGAGAGTAGGTTGTAGCCGTGTTGGTCTAAGGACATAGGCAGACAAGGTTCCCTGGGTGAATCTGATATCTTTTATTAGACCAACCCAAATGGAGAGGAGAAACACCTTGCTATCACTAGCATGACCAAGCCTCCCTAATGATTTCTACCCTCATTGTACCCTTTGCTTGAAATTCCTGTCAGCTCAGCCTTAAAGGAAAGTGTGTGTGAAACACCTGAAATAAAGATGGGCATCAATGGAAGCAAACTTCCTGTTGAATGTACTACAGCAAGATTAGGGCTTTGTCTAAGCGTCACGTGATTTACCAGAAGAACTTAGCACTTGAATGACTGTGCACTTCACAGTTTCTGACAAACCTGACCACACAGGCTTTTAAGAAAAGAATTGCCTAGGAGATAAAGCATGATAGGTCCATGTGATTCCTTAGCTCCTTGGGCTGTTTTTTTTGTGATGTGAAAGGCAATGGGAACATTGTTAACTGGGTCATTTCCAGTTTTAATCAAACTTTTATCTCCCCCACAGCAAGTGGGAGTTTTGCCAAAGTCAGTTTAGTTTGGTGCACTGAGATGTGGATAAACAAACGTTTGTCACACTGCCCTCTCATTCGGAGTATTGGACCTCTGTCAGAAAAAGTGTTTGCTGACAAAAAGTTGAATCATCTGGCATTTAAGGGAGGGAGAAGGAGGTGGGAGGAGAAGCAGAGCTTAATTAACAATGAACATTTTCAGCAACGTAGTAGGGAGAGAGTTGTTTAATGTCACTGTTCTTCATGAAGGTGTACCAAAAGTAATAAATATACTTAGAGTAGGTGCTCATTTGGGACTCAGCCCTGCAAGGAGCTGAGCACACTAAAGTTACATACACATCAGAAGATTGCAGCATGTTGGCCTCACCTTTTTGAGGTCATGTACTGCTACCTTAAAGGGGGAAGAGACTTTTTAGTGGGATGTGTTACCCTGAATTGAAAGAGTATTATGAAGTAAAAGGGTACTTTAACAAGCAAAGCTTATGACTGTGTATTTGCTCACCTGTTCTCTTATTTTCTAATTGTATGACACTTGTGGATTTTCAGAAGTGCAAGGGCAGGGTTTGTTAGTAGGTGATTAGGATTTTCTTAACTAAGCTACAAAGATAAATGTTTTTTTAATATTTCAAGTTGGAAAATGCCTGTTTTTTTCTCTCAAATATTAGTTCATTAAATATATGTAGAAATGGATTCCTTTATAAGAAATGGTACCATACTTAGTTCTAAGATGAGGATTTTTTCCATTTAACATGTGGGGAGGGGGAAAGCCCTTCATCTTACAGTCGAGTGCCAGGGCAGTGCAGGGGCACGTAGCTTCTGTGACTTGAGCTCCAACCCCTACCCTCCTGCTGCCTGCCCCCACTGCCTCTGCACCCCACCATCTCCCCACTCCTCCCTGTCCCCCCTCCATGCAGCCCCTTCATCCCCTCCACACAGCCTCTTCTCCTTCATCTGTCATTGTCTTCCTGCCCCCTGCACTTATTCATGCATGCAGGCTCCATCTCAGGGGTGGGCAATTATGTTGGGCGGAGGGCCACTTACTGAGTTTTGGCAAGCCATCAAAGGCTGCATGACAGGCAGGCCGAGGGCAGATGAATATTAATTTTCTAAATTTTTTAGGGGCCCAGCAGGCTGGATAGAATGGCTTGGCAGGCCGCATCCGGCCTGCGGGCTGTATTTTGCCCACCCCTGCTCTATCTAAACTGCAGCTGAGGACACGAGCCCAGCCTCATAGTAGCGGCTTGCAGCCCACTTGGCTACTGCAAGCACTGGACTAGGGTTGTGCTCAGTGCCATAAACTAGAATGGGGATGCAGTCTGCTGGTGCAGAGTAAGGGTAAGTGAGGCTCGTGGAGCATGGAGGCTGGGGTGTGAGGGATAGGGGTGAGTAGAGGCTGGAAAAGGAAGGGAGAAACTAAGGCTGCATGAGGGCAGGAGGGGAAGGCACGAGGCAAACTGCTAACCCCTACCTACTCCACTGCCTATCCCCCTGTAGCAGCAGAGGGGGATGAATTAAAGATGATTTGCTAATAATTAGATTATGTACCCAGAAAACTGTGTGTGTACAAATTTTCCATATATAGAATCTGCTTATTGGGAATTGTCTTAAATCTGGGTCTCTTAGATTTGGGTAAATACGATATTAACAGCACCCTGATTGAGGTTTTTGAGTGAGTTACTCTGTGCTTTAATTACTAGTTCCTATGATGGATATAAATAACTGCCTTTGAATGGGGCCCAGTATATAGTATAAAACTGGTCAGAATATGACTTATTCAGTAGTGGAGGAAGGACAGTGCGACAGGGAAGGGTAAGAAAGTAGAGAGCCTGGGGTTCTGACATGATATGGTGGCTTTTTTGCAGCGAAGGATTTTGTAGTAGCCTGAAATTATGCTTCTGTCAGTATTGTGTACTTGAGTTTGGGCTCATATGCCATTTTGGCAGCACAACAGCAGTCATGGTGGGATTCTCATTTGATCCTGCACTTATCCTTTTATACAGAAAAAAATTAATCTTATGTTCTTGCTCAATTTTTAACTAATATAGTGGTGATGGCTGATATTGTATGGCACAACAGTTCTGAGGTTCAGAGAGAAAGAAGGAGATAAAATGTCTTTTAATTTTGGATTCTTGTACATTCTGGAGGGTGGGGGAGATGTTTGTTTTTTCCTTCAGTATTATCCTAAAATTCATGAATATCCTTTACATTTTTTCTCCCATTTCCCTTTATCTGTGTCTTTAGTTAATTGGAGTAATGATTCATGCTGAGAATTCAATTGAGATGGTCATGATTGTATTATTTACAGTAACATGGAAGAGAGAGGTGAACTGAGAAGGCAAATGAGAGCCAGTACCTCTCAAATTTCCTGTCTGAGGTAATAAACAGGGATCCAGGTTTTCCATTTGCCACGGAAAAATGGGTACAACCCAGATGGTCTCATTTTAAGGAGAAAAAGGCGGGAAATGGTGAGTTTCCCTTTGCAGATTTGCAGAGTTCCTGTCTGCAAAGGGCTGGGGGGAGTGGGAGGAAGGTGGTCAGGCAGGTGGTGCCATGTGCATGTACACATGCACATAGCTGCCAGGCAGCCTGGAGAGCAGCTCCTGCAACTCTGCAGACAAGCCTGGTGGGGAGGGGGGGCACGTGGCGTGAGGTGTGAGACTTGGGGTCTGGGTCCATGTGTGGCCGCAGGGAGCGGAATGGAGCTGTGGGTGGCTTGTCGGGGGGGGGCTGGCTTCCCACTGCTGCATGCACACGTTGGGGAGATTGGGGGGCATATGCCCCCCAGATGTGTGTGCAGGGGAGGGTGACTTTCTTGCTACGGGCTCAAGCTTGGAGTCCCTGTTCTGCTGCCCTCTGCCCAGGGCTTCTGTGGGCCAGCGGGCAGGACCTGGTACAGCAGGGCAGAGTGGGCTGGAGAGGCTTGTGCCACTTCTGGGAGCCCCACATAGCCATGGTGAGGTGCTCCCTGCCCATCCCACAGCAGTGGGGATGGCGGTGTGGTGTTGTGCCCCTTGCTGTTGCCAGGCGGGGAGGGGGCACCTCACCATGGCTGCATGGGGCTCCCAGCAGTGGCACAAGCTTTCCTACCCTGCTTCTGCTCTGCTGCACCAGGTCCCACCCACTGGACCATAGAGGCCTCAGTGGGGAGGGCAGCAGGGTGGGGAGCCTGAGTCTGCAGCAAGCAGCCCACCACAGGCTTGGACCTGGCCATGCTGCCCGTGGGGGAGGAGAAGCCAGGCTCCGCTGCAGTAGCCACTGTCTCCTTTGCAGTGGTAGCCAGGGCTTGGGGTGCTACTGCAGGGATGCAGGGGCCTGCAGACCTGGGTCTTTGGCCCCATAGCCTTGGCAGCAAGGCTTGGGAGGAGGGGTGGAGGGCTGTGGCTTGGGAGAGAGTAGCAATGGCATAGTCGGGGCACCAGCATATTGGGGCTGGTCAGCGCCGCAAAGCAGTGGCTGGGAACAGCTGCAGCTGGACCTGCATCCTGGTCAGTGAAGGGGGCAGAGGAAGCTCTGATTTTTTTCCACGATAAAAAACCCAAAATTTAACTATCAAACTTATAGGTATTTAGAATGTATTTTATTATAGTGATTGAGGCACTGGTAGGCTTCCAAATAGCTTTAAAATTGTAAATATATCAGTAAAACATCGTGTTTAACTGATTTCTTTCTTTCTCTCTCTTCTCCCCCCCAGAATAAGAGCTCTGTTTTTACATCACAGTTTTTAGGAGTATTCTACTGCAAAGTCAGGCATCTTTAAAATCCAAATTTATTGTAAAAAAAATCAGTTTTGCACAGTATTTTTTCTTGATTAAAAATGTTATAGTGGTTAAACAGTGCTCAAATTCTGTCTGTTGAAAGTGAAACTGTTAGTCAAAACTTCATTTTAAAATATGTGTGTATGAAAGAGAATAATATGAGCTGATTGATGTAATAGGAAAAAATGCTGCTGGGGTGGGGGGGGAAGAAAAAACATGGACCAATTGGGCAGATGGAGAAAGAAAGAGAAGGGGAGAGGGTGTGGCCAATGAAAACTTTGGATCCCAGAAGGCAAATTTTAGACATCACATTGATGACTTTACCTGTGTTTTAGCATCCTTGTTTGAATGTTTTTTTTTGTCTAATAAGGTCTCAATTCTTCATATACTTTGGCAGTCTGGAGCCTTCGTGGATTACATTGATTTAAATGAGGTTCTGGCTCTGCTTCCAATATGTTAGTGCCTTGGGGCATTCAAAGCATAGGATTGAGGTGTCATAGCCCCTAGTATGCATCTAGTGCCATGTAAGTGATAATACATGCTATATTTGTAATCCATTTTTTACTCTTGGCAGAGTTTAGTTTAGAGTATTGCTTGAAGACACATCTACATCAAAAGAAACATTGATGCAATGCTTGATTCTCAGTCTAAACTTTAAATACATTCACTTTGACTGATGCAGACTTTTGGAACTATCAAGATGTCTGACATGCTTATTATGAATTTTTGGCTAAGTATTAAATGTGACTGTTGAAAGAGTAATTTTGAAGTGATGGGAGGGGGAGGGGAAGTGTATCACATTTTCTTTTCTTTGTTGAATTTTTGGCTTTTCTTCAGTAGTTATTTAACTTAATTTCTGAGCTCCTTTCAGTCATTTATTCATTTTTACATCCAGGTGCCTTGAAGTGTGTGTATATATAGATGTGAAGAGGAAGTGCAGAAATATATGGTTTACTCATGTTTGCACATGAGTACTGGCAGGGTCAGAAACTACCCAGACCTCATGGGTCTCTGACAGCTACCTTTAATTGCAAGAACTTTTTTTTTCCTTTCTGGTTATTCATGAGTCCCTTGACTCTCCGTATTTTTGCAAAATAGAAAAACTAGTCATGTATGTGTCCTTAATGGGATAGTTTCAAGGGCATTGGAACTCTCCTAGTTATTCCTTTGTCAGAAATTCTGGAAGAGGGACAGAATCCATTAACAGGGCCAGTGACCAGTAAGTCTTTCTTGACCTTCTGTTAAACTGCAGAATACTAGAAAAGGCAAGCAGCCAGAAGCCTAAAAGTATTTAGGCATCTAAATCCCTTCTGCATTCTTTTGAGGCTCTGGGCTAAAGTGATTTTTCTAGATGTAATTTAATTACCTTCCATGTCTTGAGACCTACATTCATTTTGTGCACAAGTTCTTCATTAAATTGATCTTACTCTGGCAAAGAGTTTTCTATGTCGTAAAACACCCCAGTTAAGTCAATGTGTGTACCAGTTTGGGTGGAGACAGAAATGCAGCTCCCCACTGTAACTGAGAATGCTTTGCAGGAAGCATTCTGAGTTGCAGCGATCACTTGGACCAAACAGAAATTCACTGTTGGTTCCAGGCAGGAGGGGAATCTAGCTGCTAGCTGTGAGCCTGCAGCTGGTCTCCCTTAGCAATGGCCTCTCTTCCCTGCCAGTCACATTGTTTCCAAATGGGAGAGGGGAAAGGAAGCAGAAGGAGCTCCTTTTAGGAGTTCTTCAGCCAGGATTGAAGGGTGGGGTAGATGAAATGGAGCCCCCTCACCTTGGTGGGCGTTGGGCTCCAATACACCCACACCACCCTCCAGTAGGGGCTGAAAAACTGCACACTGAATTCCCTGTGCTCTCTTTCTCCCATCCCATTCTGAAAACAGCTCAGAGGCTGGGAGGCAGGCAGACACAAGTTACAGAAGACGCTATGTTTTTAAATGTCTTTATCTGAATCCTCATGCAATGAGGATTCCGATTTTCACCAGATCGGCCATTTTTGAAGTGGTTTGCAGCTATGCAGCTGTGTTTGGTCACAGCTACAGACTGGTTTATGTAGCTAGATTGGGAGAAAATTGTCACTTTTCTCTGCACCATGTATCTTCAATTCCTGCTTATTCTGGACTACTAGTGATACTGCAGGTCAGGAGAGTAGTGGATGGTCTAAATGTTGTGAAGCTTATACCGCACAGAGGGTCTCTGTCTATAGTTAATGAGTGCCAGCAGAATAACAGCTTATATTTAATGAGTGTCACTAAAATAAGAGCAAAACTCATTATTTCACCACATCCAAAACTTTCAAAATAAGGGAAGAGAAAAATAGCACTTACTATGTCTTAAGAAAATACTCTGTTGTGAGAAGCATGCTTATATATGTTTTGTAATAAGCATTCTTCATAATAGAGTGGAATTATTCAATAATTAGTCTATTTTGAAACTTTTTTTGTAAACATTTGTAAGGCAAAATGATCTCCAACATCAGTCAATTCCATTCTGTGTGTCTATTTTCTGTTATGTTTTTAGTGATGCTCAAGAATTTGAAGGTATGGGGTGGCATCAAAATCCCTGATTAAAAATTGCTGTCAACTTGACAGCATTTGCCCCATTTTATCATATTTGGAACCAAGTCCTCTGCTGATATAAATTGCTTTGGTTCTGTTCAGATAAATTGGGTTATAGTAGGGTGGGCAAAATATGACCCATGGGTTGGATCCAGCCTGTGGGTGCCCGCTAATTAATTGTAACCCACCCAGCCCACTTGCTTTCTTGCAGCCTCAATCATGGGAGGGCCCCGGACCCGACCTCAGTCTTGGCCAGCATGCACAGCTTACAGGCAGGGCTGCTGGTTCCACTTGCGGCAGTTGCTAGGGCACCTGCTTGGCTTCCCCAGCTTCCAGTGGCTTCCCCTGTTGCCCCTACCTAATGCAGTGCTCGCCCTATGCCGCAGGTAGGGAAGCTGCAGCTGGTTGGGAGCTTGGGGCTGGGGCTGGGGCTGGGGCTGGCAGCAGCATGGAGTCTGGGGCCCGTGCCCTGTGGGGCAACAGGAGCTCAGAGCTCAGGTGCGCAGGGTTTGAGGGGAGGTGGGGATACCCCTCCCTTCCATGGTTCACAGCCATGGCTGCTGGTGGCAGCAGCAGGTGGCAGGCCTTCGGGCATTCATCGTTTGTGCAGACGTGGCCATCCAGTGGTTCCGGCCAGTTCTGGGAGTTGCACATAGTGGCAAGGAGCGGAGCCAGACCAGCTTGGATTTATAGTATGGGGCTTATGTGCTGCTCCCAGGACTTGTGCACCACTGGGGGGAAGCCCCACATGATGGAGCTGGTGGCCTAGTCCTACTCCCTGCCACCACATGCAGCTTCTGAGACTCTGTTGGAAGTGGAGGGGAGCTGCACCCTCTGCTTCCCAGTGGGGTCCTATGCACTGCACGTGGAGGCAGGGAAAGCAGCTAGCTCCATTGCTCAGAGCTTCCCTGCAGTGGCACATGAGTCCCAGGAACTGTACGCAATCCCCATGTGATAGAGGCTTGTTGGCTTGGCTCTGCTTCTTGCCACCATGTGCAGTTTCCAAAACTGGCTGGAGCAATGAGCAGCTGGGTAGCTGCACCTGCACAGGCCATGAGCACCCGGAGGGCCTGGTGCTGGTGCTGCTAGTGGCAGGGGGCAAGAACATGTAGGGGGCTCCCCATACCTCCCTACCCTCCCTCACATCCATACCCTGCTCACACCCCCCACATGTATACACACACCCACAACACCCAACATACCGTATACCTCCATGCATGCACACAGCCGTACCCTCTCTCAACCCCTCCCCCCCCCAATATATAAGAGTAAGGCTTTATTTTTGAGCTATTATGCAATTACCTCTATATACACTATGCAAATGTACGTAAACCAGGATGAAAATATTTTTTTAAATAAAACTAAAATACATTATAGTAGATGTTTGACTTTTAGTATATGATTTAGTTTTTTTCTTGTTTCAAGATGCCCTCCTGCCCTTCACCCAGAGTAGTTCCAGGGGCAAGGGGAAGGACTTCCAGTGGCAAAGCTCAGGGGTTAGGGGGTGGGACTTCTGGTCCCAAGATGGCTACTGGGGGGGGCACCTGTCAAGGGGCAGAGCTACTGTTATGACCCTTGGCAACTCACAAAAACTCACTAAATGGCCCACCAGCTGAAATAATTGTCCCCCCCTCTGGGTCATAGGTTTATATCAGCTGAGTATCTAGCGCTCTCATTTTTAGGTAGTTCATTTATTTGTGTGTCAAGAAAAAAGAAGTATCTCTTGTTTTATTATGTCATCTGCTTTTTTGCAAATAATCAGCTAGTCTTGTGGGTAGTGTGCTTCAATGTACCGTGAAGAACGAAGACAAGAAAAACTAATATCCTTGTTAAATACCAGTCTTTGCTTGCTTTTTTGTACTAGAGATACGAACCAATCGTTCAGCCTTCGTGCCCTTCCCTCTTCATCCCGTAGAATCGGGAGGAAACCAAAACTGAAGCGTGAGAGAGAAAATATAAGACTGAAAAAGAAAGTGTCTTAACTCTAGCCAAGTCCTGAAATTCCTGATTCTTTCTCTTTGAGCCAGGTTGCTGGGATTCAGACTTCAAATCTTAGTCTGGATAGAAATTCCCTTGACTTGTGACTCGTTTCAGATAATATTAGCCTCTAATTTATATCCCATTCCCCATCTCTTTCTGTGAGCTCCTTCTGCGGGTTGAAGGAAGATGACTTAGATTATAAGTTCTCCAGGTAGGACTTGATTCTCCTACCTGAAGAGTATCTACAATTTTTCTGACAAGTAAATAAGACTTGGCATGTTACCCTCACCCACCACTCTTGCCATCACCAGCCAGACAGTTTTGAAGTTTTATTCTTGTAAGGTGATGGCAGAAACAAAGGCACTGAAATTAGTCTTCCAAGCTTGGAAATGGCATCTTGAGAATAAACATGTTTCAGTTTGCTGCTATGACCAAATAGCAGCTGGTTTGTGTATCAGATGACATTGATGTACCAGAAGTGCCCATCTCCTTTTTGACATCCTAAACCTAGCGTTGGTAGGAATCCAGCTTACCATTTCACTGTTTGTACTGGTGAAATAATTCTTTGGATAGGGGTAGTGCAGCTGAATTGGGTTGATTTTGGTTTCTGGAAAAGGAAGTGGTTATTAAGATAGTAATGCTTTAGTGCAGGGGTCGGCAACCCCCAGACGCCATTTTGCTCGGTTCAG